TCTAAGTAGCAACGAGGGATGCAGCTCTGTCTTTGTATTTTCTTTTGTCATCATCAGAAAATGAAAAGGCATACATTACAAGCAGAATGCTCATGCACAGAAACCCCTCTGTGGGAAACACACTGTGTATCACTGCATGGATGCCTTTGAGAGCCCATTTCATATTCCTTAGATGTTTACAGTGATGAGAGGACTCTTCTATACTTTGTTTTTGAAATGTATAATCTGTCAATTCATTCAAGAAAGAAAGTAAACTCTGCTTCCAAATAATACAGAAGTCAGAAAAAAAAATAGTTGTGTTTGCTTCCCATGTGGGCATCTCAGTGTCCTGGGCCCCATCTGGAGCCTGGCTGCCACCCTCTGGTTGCTCCCTGGGGCCCCTCTGTGGGCGTCTTCCCTCTCCCTCTGCCACTCTATGCCCCTCATGGTTCTCCTTCCCATTATTCATGACTCTGCTCGGCATTCAGAGGTGGACGGGTGCCCAGGCACATGCTCTGCTTCCAGCACTGGCCTTGCTGTCACTCTCATTTCTGGACTTGGGTCAGTGTCTCTGCAGGATCCCAACCCATGCCTGCTCTGAGCTGGAGGGCTGACAGGTGCCCTGAAACACAGTGCTGAGGCTGGAGGCAGGGAAGCCTTGGTGTGGACCCTTTGCAAAGTTGTCACAGTCTCTGTAGCAGCATACATGCCCAACTGTCCTGGCCAGGGCTTCTGCTTCTGTGTCTCAGAGGAGAGTGCAGGCCCTGGGGTTTTGTGCTAACTTCTGTGAACATAAATATTCTTGGCCAGCGACTTCTTGTGAGCTCTTCTAAGGAAGCCTCTCATTTCCATTCAAAAGTACAGCTGCCTTGCCATGGCCATGGCTCACCATGTTCTCCAGCTACTCCTTCTCTGGATGGCAGTGGAGACGTTTTGGAGACATGGTGGTCAGTGGTGCCACACACCTCCACAAGGGAGCAGCTGACACAGTCACAGTAAGGACCCACAGTGAGCTGGCCATGTGAGAACAGAGGGTGAACCCATGCCACTCACAGACCCACCCATGCCAGACAGACACCAGTGTAGGCTCTGGTCCTAGCCTCCTGATTCTGCCAGCCACAGCAATGGCAGCCTGAGTCTTCATGGGTACTGAACAGAATTCCCATGCTGCAAAGCCCTGGTGGACTGGATCCTGGTGAGCCTGTCCCTGCATGCCCTGTCATGTTGGGCTCCTCCTCACCAGCAGCCCCCTGAGACCTGTTCTGGTCATATAGTCTTCCCAAGTCAGCATCTCTGGAGATGCCTGGCCCTCCATTCCCTGTCCTTCCTGCAGCCCTGTCTGATCTGGGTTCCCCAAGCGCAGTCTGTGTTCTGGGTTGTGCTACCAGAGAGCTGCATGATGCTCTGTCCAAAGAGTCTCTGAAGGCAGTCTGTGAAGGCAACATATGAGAGCCACGAAGAATGATACACACTGCAATCAGCAGTGAAGATGGGCTGCACCCGAGTGCAGTTCAGGGCAGGGCTCAGTTCACTCTCCTTTCAAACACTCAGGGCTGGGCAAGTGTGAACTAAACTCTCAGCATGGGTGTACAGAGCCGTGGGATCCAGGTGACTTGGCCGGAGCCCAGTGCTGGGCCAGCATTTGAAGGAAACTCTAAAGGGAAGAGGCCTCTTTTCTCTTAGAGAGCATGGCAAGAACCACCACACCACCCAGGAAAAACAAACTAAGGATTTGCTCACCTCACTGGGTTGCTTAGCTGCATGGACTGAGAGCCAGAGAAGCCAGATCCACTGTGCCAAGCTGTCAGACCCTAGAGAGGAGATGACTGCTACTGAAATGTAAAGCAACTCCACAAGCCAGCTCTCAGGGACTTCCATTGCTTAGGTCAGGTGGGCCCCACTGAAACCAGACAGAAGGGACAGATGCTTGGGGACAGGCAGCTCCTGGAGTCAAACACACACCAAACAAGCACTGTACACTGTAAGCCCAGCTCTGCAGAGCCAGGAGTGGTGTGTCTTTAGGAAGGGGCTGGTCTTGGGACGTGCGGGGGATGCAAGGCCATTCCTGGCAGGGATCAAAGGGTTATCCAGTGGTGGCTCCTGGAGAAGGAGGGTAGTAACCACAAGCATCTGTTTCTAAAAGATGATTGGCTACATTTTCTTTAAAAAGAAATGCAAAATTCAATGGGAAATTTGCTGTTTAAGAATAACCCTCAAGTGTTTGTTGTCTAGAGAAAGAAAGAAAGATTTCTCTTCTGGCCTCTGTGACTGAGTGGTGTGGGCCACAGGACCAAAGTCACTGTTAGCCACGCCTGTGAGCCCTGCAGCTGCTCCTCTGTGTAGGAGACCTTCTTGTCTTAATATCTGCTTATTCCTTCTGTCCACAGCCAAGTTCAGAAATCAGGCAGAATTCCCAGGAAAGAATCACCGAGGATGAGGAAGAATTCACACAGTGACACCCAGCTGCCCTTACTGTTCAGCATAAACTCACATGGTGCTTGATGGGGCTGGAGGTGGCATCAGCAATGTGCCATTAAGCTTCCTACCATTCGGTATAAATTTGCAAAGTAAATGCTCTTTAAATTCTGTTGCCAGGGTTTCCGATCCTTCGTTAATAACAAAAGATGCTCCAGGTGTTGTGTCACCCAGCACCAAACACTCACAGCTTTTTGGGCAGTCCAGGCCTCCCCCGTCATTCAGCAGAAGCCCTGACAGGTTTTGCGTGCTGCTGGCTCAGGTAGCGAGACCCCACTGCCTTTCCAGCTTGTAGTGCTTCCGGCAAAAGCCAGTGCTGTGTTTTAAACTTGGACTCCACAAGAAATCCTTTTGGGATTTGAACTCCTTTCTTGCCACTTTGCACGTGGGATTGCCACTTGGTGAGGTGTTGCCGTGCTCCACGGCACCAGTGTCCTCTGGCAGACAGGGACAGAGTGCCTACTATTCTTGGCATTTCTGCTGGTTGCCTGACTCTAAGATTCTTTTGCTTTCACACTCATGCTTTATGATCTTTTCCCCATGCAGCATCCACTACACTCATAATAGTATGACATTACTTGAAATCTGAAAGGAGTGTGTGTTTTTATAAATTATGCATGGATGTTAACAACTTCGCACATGTACAACAAGCAAGAAACATTGTGGCTTGCACATCCACCGCTGTTAATATAAACGCAATGGAGTAAGTTGGGAAATCGAGCATTCGGAGAGTTGTTGATATGAAACTCAACATCCATTTGATATGTAATTTCCCCCTTGGTACAACACATTAGTGCATGACATGAACACATTTGAAACGACCCAGAAACTAGATTTCAAATAATCAAACTCATTTTCCCTTGAAAGCAATAAAATAAATGAAAGGATATTATCTGTGAGTATATTGTCATGATTTAAAAAAAAAAAAAAGATAAGAAGACTGCATCGCATTCCATTTTATTCCCCTCACAGCCTCCTTAAATTCCAGCAAATCCAATTTCAGACGAATCACTTCCCAGTCCGGGGTGAACTGTCAAGTGTGGAACAGCCAAGCGTGTGTTTCTGCGCGCAGACTGGCAATGGCCAGTCTTGTGCGTGTCCGTCACCACTTCTGATGGCGACCATGCACAGGTGCACCCCGCAGCTCTGAGAACAGGGGGCTGCAGTGCTCACGGCTTAGTTCCTGCCTCCAGGGGGCCACATGTTCAGAACGACATCTCTGGGTTCCCCCTTCCCGGGCCACAGAAAGCTGCTCTGCTGCACGAGGACATTTTACCCTGCTTGTCCAAACACCTCCCAATGAGGCACGGAGATGGAGGGAGGCCCGGCACCCAGCTCTCCACACCCTATATCCCTCAGACCTCCGGATGTAGCACAACTTTGCAAAGGACCTCTCTCTCTCTCTCTCTCTCTCTCTGTTGGTTTGCTTTGTTTTTTGAGATAGGTCTTGCTATGTAGCCCAGGGTGGCCCCAAACTCATGATAACCCTCTTGCTTTGACCTCCCAAGTGCTAGGATGACAGGCATGCCTCACCACACTCAGCAGGACCTTCTTCTAATCAAAAGCTATCAGTGCCTCAATCACAACCTTCAGCAAGTGAGTGCTGCTAAGGGCATAAAGACACTATGAGCAAACCCAACAGCAACCAGGGCAGAGGAACAGGCAGGTTGCTCCATTGCGGTATGGAAGCTCCTGCGTGCTTGTTGTTCACCACCAATGAAGGAAGTGCATCAATAAGATGTTCTTGCAGTGAGGCCTTAGATATGTACAGAGAACTTGAACGCAGCTCTTTATATCAGCTGGAACACTGTGCTGCATTTGTCATTGGAAAAAAAACACATTTCAGGAACTTTCAGTAAAGAATAACTCCCATATTTCACTTACATATTGAGGGCTGACTGAAACAGAATTGTGTTTGGTCCTACTTGGGCAGCACCCTCAGCCTGGTGCCTCATAAATGACCACATGTGTCTCCTGCAAAGTCAGCCTAGAGCACCAGAGCTAAGCCTCTCCTGGCCTGATCTTCTTAGAAAGTTGTGTAACATGCTTTACAAGATTGCTCCCTCCACTCAAAAATGTAATTGGGAAATGCAAAAGGTATGTCCTCTGCCCTGTTTGCTCTTCAAGGTGCTAGTGAGTGATTTGTGATTTTCTACTCCATGATCATATGACCAATGCCACTACTGCTCCACCAGGGCCCAGGTCTCAGAAACTCCAGGAACTTGGGATCTGTCAGGATCACAGTCACTCAGACTACCCGACTCGCATTCAGCCCCTGTCTACAGGGACAGAAACATAGAGGGACCTCTGCATATGCAACCCTACAGCCTCAGGACAAGCCACACAGCTCTATTCACACTGAGTGCTGAGCATATCGACTCTCATGTCTCCAAACTTCTCAAATGCAACACAAATGCTGTCAGAAGGTTGGTGAGTCACTCATGGCAGAAACCCAAATAATGGTGCCCAGGTGACACTGGCTCTGATGGCCACATCTCTGCCTTGACTGTGTGGCCATGCACACATGCGTGTAGAAACAGCCTTACCTGTGGCCTTCACAACGTCTGCAGTTGTCATATTTCGGGCATTGGCACCCACTTTGAAAGTAACTGCTGGCCCCACGACCCTAGAAGAGAACATTCAGTAACAGATCATTACCAAGACACCACAGGGACTTCCCCAGAAAACCCCCACAGGTAAAAGCACGCGTCCAGTGTGCCGTGTGCTGGATGTGTGACCTCCAGCCCAGCCCATGGCTGCTTAGCTGTGAACTGTGACTCTGTTTCCCTCTCCAGCAATTCTGTCATCAGATTTGTTTTTCTAAAACACCCCTGCAGTGGTATATCCTTTTATAAAAGTGTTCAGATCCACCAAAGGACCCAGCACTCCCCAAGGAACCAGGTGGGCAAGCAGACATTCCCTCAAGGGAACAGAAGCACCATATGGACCCAGGCTTTGTCCAGGCTCCCAAAGGGGCATCAAGTGCTAGAGCAGGAGGGACACAAGGTTTTCAACTGCTCATGAAAGGAGCCATTTACAAAATCACCAGTGCTCTGTGTAAAAGTACCTGGCAGGGAATAGTTTGACAAGAATTACCAGAATCGCCTGAGCTTTTGTGGACACCACATCCAACATGATTTTGAGAAATGACTCATCTGAGTCCCGTGTGCCTGAGGGGCCGCATGCTGGGCGCATACCAGGCTGGCCAGACAGGGAGTCCAATCTGACTTTGGAAGCTGGAGCCATCTCCACTGTGACCATCCTCAGAATGACCCTCAAACACTTCCAACCCACATGAGGAAAAGTGGGAAAGCAGCCACTGGGATGGAAAGGCAGGAAGAAATCTCTGACTTCCTAAAGCTCCCACAGTGCCCACCAGGGTCCACAGAGCCCAAAGTTCCTCCGCACCCCACCCTAGTCCCCACCAAAGTGTAGGAGCCCGACTGAAACCCTTCCTGCCCACCTCCCCCCTGCCCTTGACACTGGGTCATCCACGGCTGCCAGTCTGCATCTCCTTCAAGCTTTGCAGAGTTTATGGGCTCCACTATTTTCTCTGCCTGTGAGTCTTTCATGTCCTGCTCTGGGGGCTCAGGTTCACTTTTGCGGCAGCCCATCAGGCATAAGCCTCTGCCCGAGAGGATCTCACCATCGCAGGCAATACGACTCATCTCCGTCACTATAGAGTCTGCCTGGAAGTCCAACATCACTCATGCCCAGGATCCACCCTAGAACCCTCCTCTGAGAAGTAGAAGATGGTGCCTACTGGGCACTTAGGCCAAGCTGCATCCAGAGGGCTCCCCAGGGTTGCTGGCACACCAGGAACACCATTGCACTCAGTGTCCTTCTCTGTCACAAGCCACATTCCATCCAATCTGTGCTACCCACAGCAGACATGAGTTGCTTCCTTGTTCAGCTCTTCCGCTGCAGTAACTTGGGGGGGTCTCTCTCAGTCCTCACCATGGGGCAGGAGGCCAGTGGGCTCACATCTTCCCAGGGGTGGGCATCATGTCAGGAAGGAGGTCATCCATCCCAGTGTGGTCATGTCCTTCACATCATCTCCTGTCTGATTGTTTTTGTTCCCTTCCCCCTGCTTTCCACATCTGGGCCCAGAGCTGGTTCTGAATATGAGGTGGCTCTGGCACGATACTCGTTAGCCCATCCTCATTAGCTACTACAGTCCAGAGCCCTGGAGATTTGATACTATGTCACAGGGCTGGCTGGGCCTGGAGCTGGGAGCCCAGTGGGATTCTATGCCCCAGCCATCCTGAGGACCAAGTACTGGGGGCTTCTCATCTCCCCAGGCCTCTGTAGGAGGCAATAGGCAGAGAGACCACCTCACTTCCCCAGAAGCCTCTGAGCATCTCAGGGAGTCCAGGAGAGAAGCTGAAGCCCGATTCTGCAGAGAGGCACTGGCTAGGTTCTGTGCAGTGATGTTAAGCATATCAGGAACAGGTTACTAAGGCATCTTCAAAATGTGTCTCTGTAGCCAGAGGCACACTGGAGAGAAGGTGAGGTGAATAGCAGGCACTGTGCCTCCTGCCCAGCCAGCACCTGGAATGCCTTTAGGCTGCAGGTGTTTGACACCTTTGTGTGTGAGGGTGGACATCCACAAAGGTTCCGCTTTTTACCTGGGACTGAGAAAGTAAATCCTTAAGGGAGATGATCCACTATGAGGTCTCAGTAAGTAGCCACTGGTTGGGATTGGAGCTCAGGAGATTTTTAGGTCCTCCGAAGTATTGTGGGACACAGAGATATTGGCACCATTGGGCCCAGAAACTCTGCTGGCTCAGAAGTGCTCTGTAAGGGCCTCACTGAGGAGTGCATGGCCTCAGGTCTCAGAAAAATCTTGCCATCTTCCTGAAGACTTGCTGAGGAAGGAGAGGCGCCACGCTAGATGCTGTCATTGCCTTGGGGCTAGGACAGACAGTGCCTCTCCTGGTCTGCAGGGTTCCAGGTGTTAGGTGAGGGTGACAAATCTTCAGGGGAGAAAGACCAGTGGAGCAGAAAGGCTTGATAACCAAGGGACAGCTCTGCAGGCGCAGGAAGGTGAGATCCACCTGGAGACATCGCCAGCCCTGAGAGCTGCTGCTGCTGCTATGTGCACCAAAGTTGTGACAGCCTCAGGGCTCTGGCTCCAGGACCCCCTCATGCAGCCTCCACCATGGCTCAGCCTTCTCAAGGAAGCAAAATCATTCTACCTAACTAAGCACAAACATCCATGTTCACAGCGTGGGCTCCTATGCCTCTACGGCAGCCTCTGTGGACACAGAGTGGACTCCTGTGCCCTTGGAAACGTGACGATGAGCCTCATCTTGGACACCACCAAGCCTGCATGGTGTTCAGCACTCAACCTCAACACTTTCTCACCAACTAGCCAATATCTAACTTTGTCCTGTGTGGGTCTCCACTTGGGGAGGTCTAATCTAATGCACTCTGTAGAGTGATTGATGCTAAACTCACAGGCTACAGCCTGCAAGCCCCACCTGCAGGATACTCCTGTGACATCTGCATGTCCTCTGCAGCAGCCCAGGCTCCAGCATGCAGATGGACCAGGTGGCACTTCAGTATGCACTGGGGCCAGGTGATCAGTGAATTGCTAGCAAGACGCACAAAAAACATAAAGAGTATGGCATCAAACCAACTCTAGAAGCCACCCTTGCTCACAGTGTGAGCAGAACAGGGAAGGCAGTATCTAGGTCAGCTGCAGCTGTGAGTGTGCGTGTTGGCAGCCTGGGGCTTCTAGAACTCTGCTCATGTCCAAAACAGCTGTGAAAGTACTGAAAGAATTGCCATGAATTTCCAGATAAGAGCCTCAGTGATGAGTGTGGATGATTTCTTGCCATCTGTGTTATGCCATTTCCCTGTATGTCACTGATTTTGCTATTTTCTTCATGTTACAAGTTAATATTGTAGGAAACAAGGGTGCTTGCTTCTAGGAGGCTTGTGTGACTGCTCCTTGTGGGTGATTTTGGCCCACCATAGTCCTTAACTACGCAAATGAGGCTAAGAAGGCTCCTCTTGGAGGGTGTCTGGGTGACTGATGGGTGCTGGCACACCTGAGCACAGTGATGGTGACCCTTTCAGAGCTTTCAGTGTTACGGACAGACTGCTGCAGTAATCCTGCCAAAGGCTTGCCACCTCTCTCTAAGGATTCCCTCTAACTGGAAGCTCCTGCTGTGCCCCAGCAGTCAGGTGACTGATGGCCTGGGAACTCTGACACCAGCTTTCTGGATGGAGACCCTGCTTAGCACACACCACTCTACAGACTGCAACACTGTTAGTGGCCTAGTTAACATGAGGGACGGACATGATCATCCTTCTCTTCTCTGGTCCTCTGCCTGGGGGATGTAGGTCCTAATCCCTGTGGGGACGACCTCCTGGGGCTCCTGGGAGGTCCAGTCACACCAGTCCTATCCCTCAGGAGAGTGCTCTTGGTGGGGACACACAGGCAGTTTTGAGTCGTGGTTCCTGCAGGGCCACTGCATTACTGGAGGCCATTTTCAGTTGTGAGAAGCGACTGCTGCTGATATGGAAGAAATGCACGAGGATCTCACAAACCCAGACTCACGTCCTCTACGCCCTGGAATGAAAGGGTCTTCATGTAGCCCAGGGGCTTGTGAGGCTTCCAGCGCACTTTTACCCAGCTCCAAGGTGGAACAGATATATCAGGGAAACAAAGCTCAGCATTACCATGACGGTTCCACTCCATGTCAGGCTGGACACAGCAGGAAAAGCTATGTCCCTGAGAGTCTACCAAATCCCTGATTTAAGGCTACCTTTAGCAGCCTCCGCAAACCTATGAGCACCTGTCCACCTGGAATAAGAGCCTGCTCCATCCCTGCAGCCCCAGCTGCAGTTACTTCCCTGTAAACTCGAGTCCAGTTGTCCCAAGCTCTTCGTCACTCAGTGGTGACACTTGACACTTTACCACATCGATAATCACTTGTTTTCTTTTTAATGTCATGGGTCACATTAACAAAGAATGGAAATAACTTCTAGGATTTTAACACTATTGTATTGCACATTTTCTAGAAACTTCCCCTGCTATCAGTTGAGACAAAGCAAAATAAATAAGTCAGCCCAGCATTAACCCGAATGTTGGCATAAGAACTCCACTTAACCAAGGGCTGCTTAGAAACCGATATTGCCTACTTTATCATTAAACTAATTTAAAATGTATACAATGTCCTGCCATCATAACATCAGCACATGGTCTTGGAGTCTTTTCAAAGGTGGCAGGTCTTGGGTCTTCTGATTGTGGCATTCATAGCCTGACTCACAGGAGCCTGGGGTGCTGAACTCAGCCCACACTCTGACTACAGGTCCATGAGGGTGTAGGGCGGACCAGTACACCTGGGTGTCAGCCTCTTATTTAAGACATTCGCAGAACACAGGAGCCTGCAGAGCCCTGCAGGGCAGCAAAGCTCTCACTTAGCATGGTTCATCCTGGAGTCATCACATTGTGTAATGAGTGATTTACACACACGACTACTGTATCAAGTCGGCCTTTTTAAACTGGGGATTGAAGTTAGGACCTCACACTGCTCTACATCCCCCAATGTTTTATTTATTTAATCTTGAGATAGGGTCTCACTGTTTCGACGTTGCCCAGGCTGGGCTCAAACTTGTGATCCTCTTGCATCAGCCTCCCAGAGTGTGAGGATGACAGGCATGCACTCTGGCACTAATTCTCTTGAGCTTTGTAGATTAGAAAGAAGATAGCAAATATATATTTGGCAATAATGGATAATTGTAAGCTTAATTGTTTAATTGCCTTACAACTAACGTAAATGTAAATGCTGCTCTTTTTAATGAATAAACTTCCTTCAATGTTGTTTAGAAACAAGGTGAACTTCTGATAGGCTATTTTCCTTAAAACTTGTTTGCTAGCTTATTCCCTTTTGTCTGGTAGACTGACCTATGCTGTTTCTGTTTGATACCTGAATTTTGGGTGCAGTTCATAATATATGTGGATGTGTGGGTGGGTGGGTGCATGAGTGGATGATGAATGATAGACGGACAGATGGATGATGAATGATAGACAGATAAAGAATGATAGACGGATGTATGGGTGCAAGGGGCCATCCCTTGTTCAGTAGTGGGTCAGTCTAAAGTGCTCACAGAAAGCCAGTGGGAAGTGGGGGCTGCCACAGATGCCCTGTGTGTGCCTCATTTCCTCTAGAACATGGATCAGAGGTCAGGCCCTGGCCATGATATCTGAAGTGTCTCATAGATGGCAAAACAGTGCAGACATGCTCCTCAAGCAGACTTTCCCTGATCGTGATTTCTGCCCACTTGGGTAATCCTACCTCTCAACATTAGGCAATAACTTTTCAAAATATCCAGAAGAGCTTATAAAGGGAGAGGGAAGGAGACAGTCAATTCCTATTTGAATGTGTGAGGACACAAAGACTCAGTAAGACATTTATTTCAAGATAATTTTGGCAGCCCAAGGCTTAACCAAAATCATGGTGACTGATGATGCCATGCCTTCCTGGGCTGAGCAGCTGCGTCACAGGCACACTGCACCTCCTCCACAGTCCCGCCATGATCTCTGTGATTCAGGGCTCCCTTCCTCAGCTGTGGGACACCCTACCTTGCCCTTGAGACCTTGCTCCAAGCCCCAAGTTACTGTACCGAGCAGGGCTGGCCCAGTCTGTGGCCCAAGAAGTTTATACTTTGCTCTCACGGATCATCATCACCTGAAATCATGGCCTCCCTGGGAACTGCTAATTCCTGGGCTTCTACAAAAGTCCATTTTCCAGTGTTTCAGGCTGGGCCTAGGAAAGAGCCAAAGTCCAAGAAAAAAGAGCTGACCAGGATGCTCTAGCACAGACATGCATGGTAGGAGAAGTAAAGTCATTCTTCCTAACAATGACAAGAATGAGTGTCACTGCACAAAGCCACCATGTACCATGAGTCCACGCCAGGTGCATCCCAAATCCTTGAGCAGGTCCCCATGAGGGGTCCTACCAAGCCACATCAGCCATCTGCAAGGTCCTTCACAAAGATTGGTGAGGATTTAGAGAGGGTGACAGAGATATGTGCTCCTGCAAGAGGCTCCTGAGTGGGGACCCAGACCACAACAGGTCACACGCAGGTTCCCCCCTACTGTGCAGGAGAGAAACTGAGGCTTAGACGGTATGTGACTGACTCTAGCCTGGCTTTCTCAGGCTATCGAGGGGCTCATCCAGCATGTAACAGGCTCGCACTACTACCCAGAAAACGGATCTGGCTCCCAGGGAGCCGTGGACACCTCTGGCAGGAAGAGTCAGTTACCTCTCTGGAATTATTTGCAAATACACAGTGGCTCTGCCCCGCTGCTCATCTCTGGTCTGAAGATGGCAGTCTGACATCTTTACTGTCACTGTCCTTATTCCAAGGACCATGTGTCCCTGTCTCTGGCACTAGATCACCCCCTTGCAGCATCTGCGGCACAGATGGGATGCTGAGGACAGCACTCCCCTCCCGGAAGAAGGGCTCTGGAATGCCACGCCCATCCTCGTGCCTCTCAGTGCCCTCGCTGAGCAGACCTTAACCACAGGTGCGTGGGTGCAGACAGTTCCAAGTCATGGACATAGCACAATTTACCCTTCCTGTCACCAGACCATTAGAGGCCTTCACAAACCTCCCCCACACACAATCCTGCACCCATCAGCACATGGCCTTGGAGTAATCCAGGGCCTTATCGCGGGGTCACAGAGAAAGCTGGAAGTGTAGCCTCCTACTGCTTCCTGCATCCAGATTCATAGGTGGAGAGGCAAGTATAGTTGTATTTCACAACTCTCCCAGCAGACAAAAGTGTAATTTCCAGAAACTTCCAGCACCCACTGCCACCTCCCTCTTGGAGGGTGGCGTGAGGGGTGAGGCAGGGAGAAGGGTGGGCAGGGCTGGTGGGATGCAGGCATCTCCCCAGCCCCGTGCACACCAGAGCTCTGAATGTAAGTGCCAGGGTGGAGGATTCCCAGCGCTGCGCCCTCAAAGCTCTCTTAAGAACAAGAGCACTGTCGCCGTCAGCCCAGTAAATCAATCACATAGAGGAGAAACTCTGCTGTTTCTAGCAAACAAGAACTGTAAAGATGGATCACAGGGTAAGCTGGCCTCCCCAGCACGCTGGGCTGACCCAGGAGCTGGGCTCGTCTAAGGAGATTGATGCCTGGCATGTCCCTGCGGCTCTGGGTTTTGGATGACATCTTTCCCTGGCACTGCTCACCCTGCTGCTGCCCACCTGACCACAGACCGTGGGAGGCAGCCCAGCATCCATCAGCCCACCCGGGACAGCTCGACTAGATTGTAAACTCGTAACTGCGGTCGTTGTGCGTCTGCTGGCATAATTACATCAGCATGCTAATGCCATTTTAATGGTCTCTAATGATGTAATAAGAAATAATGGAATTTATTTGACAGCTACATAACCATTAACAAAACATATTAAGCATAACTAGTCCTTCCATAAAAATGCAAACAATGTCTGCCGGCACCAGTTCACATGTCCCCTGTGCCTTGCTCCCTTAGCCTTCCCTCCCAGGCCCTTGGGAGCAGGGGGGCCTCAGCAGGACCGAGAAGTGCATGTCCACTGGCATGGAGGGGTGTTCAGGATTGTTGGGGTATGTGGGTACAGCTAGAGTGCCCAGATGGCTGAACTGCCACTGTACACATGCAAATGCATGCACACGCATGTGCCCAAGCACATGATGCCCAGGGTGGCACAGAGTCCATAGGGCCAGGCCTGGGAGCTTTGGAGGAGGCTCTGGGAACAGTGAGGACTCCTCCTCAGTAGATGAGGAGGATAAGTATAGGGCAGAGCTGGGCAGGAGGAGGGCACTGCAGAGGGGAGGGTACCAGCTAGGACTTGTGGTTGTCAGACTCTGCGGCCACAGGTGGATGGCGCTCACTTCCCTGAGGAAGGGTCCCTGATCCAACAGGGAACATGCCAGACCTGTGACACTCAGGGTGGGTTTGGCTGGCTCACTTTAGGCCCACTTCTCAGAGAGGCCAGGGTGCCTGAGCTCGAAGTTGGGCCTCAACCAAAGAGCCCAAGGGTTGGGGCTGTGCAACTGGCGGAGGGCTGTGTCAGGCCCCATGCCAGGCTCAGCATGAGGGATGGGGGACGGGCACTGTGCCTGCTGCTCCGCTCTCGAATCCTGACGTCTGCTTGCTTTCCCACTGTCTATATGCAGAGTATACCCCTCCTGCCTGCCAGCCTATGCTAGTCACAGGCACACACGACTCCTGGAGTGCTATTTGCTCCAGGAACGGAGAGGCAATGCCCTGACATGTCTCCTAGAGGTAACAAGAGGGCGCTGTGTGTTGCAGACACTGGTGAGTGCTGGCCGAGCATTCCTGGCAGGGCAACAGGGCCCTCCTTGTTGGCAGTGGAGTGGGCGCTGGCTGCCCAGGCGCCCAGGTGAGGCCAGTGTACCACATCCAGGAGGTCAGGACTCTCATCATCGAACTAGCTCCCACTGTATTCACACAACTCCCAGAGCCACCACAAGGTCAGGTCCTCTCCCCTCTTCCCTGCCCAGCTCCACTTGGGCTTGATTAACAAGGCTCTGCTGCACCGCTCACCACCCGCAGGCTGATCTCTGAGAGGACAGGCCCACACCCCGCGGCACTCACTCAATGTCTTCAAAGATGCTGGGTGGCACCTGCAGGAGGTGGGCGACATCACTCATCAGCTGCTTCCCTTTCTCTGGGCTCAGGAGGCTGTGGAGAGAGGAGGGGCAGCATCACTAAGCAGTGGGACCAGGGAACTGAGGGAGCAGAAGGAGCTGGGAGTTGGGTCACTGGGCCACGTCACACACGAGAAGGAAACAGCTACTTGCATAATAGATTCCTTTGTAGAGTGAAGCACAGTCCAGGAGATGGGTGCTTACATGTCACTCATGCAAGTATTAATGGTGGGATGAGGTGGGCACACCCACTGGCAGCACCCTGTCAGAGGGGCACAGCTGTCCCAGGCAGATGCTGTGAGCGTGACTGCCCAGCAAGGCCTCACCACAGGGACAGAGGTGAGCAGTAACTCAGAGCTCTGCTTAGCAATCCTGATCCCAGTGTTCTGCTGCTCACAAACCTCAGTGCCTGTGAGGTCCCATCAGCGCTGCATCACAGAAGTGCTAATTTACATTATCATGACAGTAAAGCTGAGAGCTCTTTGAGCATGCCTTCCTCACCACTCAGCAAACACCAAGGAAGGAGAACAGCCTTGGGCAGGAGAGGCTAGGCTGCCCTTCACAGGATGTGTGCTGGTGTGGCGAAGAGGAGACACAGATGCTAACAGCGAGACAAGTCCTGCCCTTGGGGTTGAGCTGCCACCCAGAAACTCACCTGTTGAAAATCCTAACCCCAGAAAATGTGAACATCTCTGGAAACACGTCACGGGGTTTACTCAATCAAGGTGATGTCATTACAGGGCCCTGAGTCTATAGTCATCACCACTGTCCTTGTCAAAGGGAAACATGGGTATGTGCAGTGGGGGACACTGTGAGGACACAGGGAGGAAATCCACCCACATGCCAAGGTTATCGAGGCTACTAGTGGCTGCAGAGTGGCCTAGAATACTCCCTAGGTATGCACATTCCTTGTGTGCACTAATACACTCCTCAGGAGTGCACACACTTCCACATATACAAGATATTCCCAGGTGTGGGGACATTAACCCATGTGCACCAAGAAAGCCTTGCCCATGCATATCCCTCCAGAGGCAGTAAACCACGCATTAAAGTGCGCATCTATCCTCGTGCCCTCAAACTACAGGAACTTTGTCATCTGCAAAGCAATGTCATTCTTGGACCTGCACATAGGGGTCATCGCAGCGGCCCTCACTCCCCTTCTTCAGTGACCCCTTGAGTGCAGTGGCCCAGCTCCTCAGCTGCCCACACAGACCCCGGTCCACTTCTGTTCCCAGATCCAGGTCCACGGGTTTCCCTCTGCTTCAGTGCCCTGCTCCTTCCTAAACCCAAAATGGATTGTGTTCTTAATCCAGCCAGCTGGGCCTCTCAGGATACTTTTTCCTAAAATCCCTCCAGACACTGACAGAATCACTAGGCTGATCACTCATTCTGAAAGGACTCAGTGATTTCATGTATTTTAATGCTGTTTCCCTCTACAAACAGAAAACTTATCAGGAAAAGGAGCTGGGTGGGCATGAGTGCATGTGTGCATGTCTCCAGAGTCCCAGGAGACATCTGCTTCTAAGCTTCAGATACCTCATAAGCACCAAAACACTATAAGGCACATGTAAAAGAGTACACACACACCTCCATGTGCACAAAGACACTCCCAGGCACACACACATAATTTCACGTGCACCAAGATACTCTCAGGAGAGCACACACACCTCCACTATGTGCACCAAGACTCTCCAAGGTGCACACACACCTGCACATGTGCTAGAACACTACCAGGAGTGCACACATAATTCCATGTATACCAAGCACTCCCAGGAGTACACAAACACCTCCATCTGCACCAAGACACTGCCAGGAGCACACACACACCTCCATGTGCACCAAGACACTCCCAGGAGCACATACACACCTCCAAGTGCGCCAAGACATTCCTAGGCACACACACACACCTCCATGTGCACCAAGACATTCCTAGGTACCCATACTCACTTCCATATTCACCAAGACATTCCTAGGCACACACACACACACACACACCTCCATGTACACCAAGACTCTCTTAGGAACACAAACACACACCTCCATGTGCACCAAGACCCTCCTAGGAGCATACACACACCTCATGTGCACCAAAACACTCCCAGGAGCACACACACACCTCCATGTGCACCAAGGCACTCCTAGGAGCACACACACACCTCCATGTGCACCAAGACATTCCTAGGCACACACACACACACACACACACACACACACACACACACACACACCCCTCCATGTGCACCAGGACACTCCCAGATACACAAACACCTCAGGTTACCAATCCATTCCCAGTAGTTTTCCGCCAGAGGACAGTAGGACCAAGTGGAGCGTGGCATCATTGTGAACCCACCTGCAGTGGCCCCAGGACTCTTTGGGCCCCACACAGGATCTAAACATCACCGCAGCAAGATGAGTTAAAATGGCCTCAAGGGTTACCATGGCATTTACAGTCAGAAGTATTTCCTGGCCTCCTATGCACAGACAGGGTATCCAACTGCCCCAACCATGCAGTGGGACAATGAGTCCTTTCCAGTCTCTCCATGGCTACTTGTCATGGGCGCCAGCAGGAGGAACAGCAGGTACTTCGAGTTTATGATGTGGCACCTGGTGTGCTCTTCATTTTTAGTGGGTGCTGTTATCTGTTCTGCCACCGTCTGAGCTTTGGTAGGAAGCAAGGTTTACCTCAGAAATCAATGGGAGGACTCAGCATACACAGACCCATCTGTCTGTTTGTGACAGCTGTCACCCAGCCCCTGAACATGATGCTATCCCTGGAAACAGGTGCCATGCTCTCCTGGACCAGGATATGAGCTGTGAGGGTTGAGGACCTCGCACTGCACTGGACAGTAAGCAACCAAGAGTCTCAGAGTGAAAGATGTATCTGCTCTCTACTGCATTTAACTTCTGAGGAGGAAAGTGTGCTGAGATATTTCAAAGCTCCTGTTCAACATTTTTGAATAAGGTACTTCCAGGATCTACTAAGAATTTAAAGCATCTGTAACAATCCATTCACTGGGAAGCTCACAGTGGGAGAGGACACCCTCCTCCCCATGACGCCCATGCAACACCAAGCCTGCAGGGTGGACATCCACCTGGCACCTGGAATGCAAACCCAGCCGCACAAGTAGTGAGAAAGATGTGTGGAGAGCACCGTGGGTGCAGAGACCACGGAGCAAAAAGTACGGGTCAGAAGTACCAGGAGCAGAGAACTGCTGGAAGGCTCCCTTGGGCTGGCTATGTGCTCAGATGCCCCAGGGCTTCTCCCCATGACACTCAACACCTGCATGGAAAGCACTAGCGCTGAGGTGTTTATTTATTTTTATTTATTTTCAGACATGGCATCTCACTATGTTGTCCTGGGTGGCCCTGACTCCAGGGATCCTTTGCCAAGTGTTGCTCCACCTCTCTCTCCAGTGGTTGGGACCACAGGTGAGCAGCACCATGCCTAGCTACTCTCATTCTAAAGAAGAGAGACTGAACTGGAGAAATTGCCCTCCTTGTCCAGGATCCTTGTAGCAGCAAACTTCCAAGAGAGACCCAGCCAGCCATTCAGCTCACAGGAGGCTGGCACTCAGGGCAAGTGGGAGCAGGGGCAACTTGTGCCTGTGGACTCTCTTGCAGGTTCTTCCTGCACAAGGATGAGTCTGCACCTACAATCTCTCCATCATGCATCTCTGCAGTTCCTCGTACATCAATGCTATCACCTATTTCCTGAGATCAGGCTGAGAGTTGCAGGCTGTGGGCACCGCTCCCACTGACCTGCTTCACGTCTGTGTTCAGGAGCCGAAGCTCCATGAGTCTGCCATGTTACTTGCTCAGTTGCAGACAGTTTACAATGTATCTGAAATTTCACTAAGAGTTAAAGAACCACAATGAAGATGCACTCAACTTGGAGATAAACTCCAGATGAGATGTTATCAGAAACCAATGGATGAAATGAGGTTTCCTTGGGATCCACTCCTTATCCCAGCCCTCCCACCTGCCATCCCAGCTGGCTAACCCGTGGGCATCCTCCTGTGGTAAGCAGTGTGGAAGAAGGCGCTCAGAAGGGGCAGCCACTGCCTGCATCTGCTTCCTCCACTTCCTCCTCAGAGCATCAGGGAAGAGCCCGTGACCACCTGTGCCCAGAGCCAGTTCCCCGGAGACTGACAGCATTGCCACAGCTCTTGTGAGCAATGAACAACCACCAGCTCCTACAGTAGGTGCGGAACTCCACAGTCTAACAACTCAGTTTCTCAACACCAAGATGACCATAAGCTCATTCATTTCTCTAACTTTAAAAAAATGCAGAGAGTTTAATAAAAATCTAAGTGGCTGTTTTTACAGAATGCGGCCTCAAGGGACCATGATCCTGAGTGCACATGAGGCTGGTTTGTACCTGCATGCTAAGTCAGGTAGCCGCTGTGTGAGGTGATCCCACCATAGCTTCCTTCCAGTCCTCCAGATGTCTGTGAAGGGCTCTTCCCTGGACAGCTCCTAAGCCTGGGCTCCAGGCCCACTTACTGCCACCTGGGGGGCCTTGATGACCACAGAGGGGCTCTGTGCATTGTTGCTGCTCCACCTCTCAAGACCAGGAGGCCCTCAGAGAGAAGCCCTCAGCACCAAGCCCATGACCAGGCTCTGAAGATGCCCAGGATGGTGGTCAGTGTGCTGTGGATGGGGATAGGGCAGGTTTGGGGGCACTGAGCTGAGGACAGCCCCAGGCTGGGCTGCAGTGCAAGGGCCCAAGGAGTGACTCTTCCAAGAGAGCTCCAACAGAAGGGCAGCCTCAGGGAAAATAGGTAGCCTCAGGCCCCATACATTGATGGGATCTCCTGGACTACACTCTGCAGTCAGACTGGACATGAATGCCCAGTGTGGGTACTGCAAGCTCTGACATCACAGCTGCCACCCAGCACCCAGGACCCACAGGTAACCTCATCTCACTCACATTTACATATGCACACATGTGTGTACACAAATAGACACACTACACACATATACACATACATGTGTGCAAACAAAACAGACATCACACACACTACACATAGATATAACACATATAATACACATAGACACACCACATGCACACCACAGAGATACTTCTTGCACACATACAGGCACACCTGTATAAGCAATCACCATATAAACATGCATCATCCGCCATGTACCCATGCCTGCTTGTAGGCCACACACACCATCTATTAAGAATACAGCCTCCAAAATCAGCAGCTGTCCCATGTGGAGACCCGTGAACTCCACATGTGCGTGCCCTGAACTTCTGCAGGCTGTGCTCCCCTTGTCCTGCCTGTGCCCATCTCTGGGGAGCAGCCCTGGTTCTTCTCTCCCTCTTCCCCTCTTTCTCCAGGAACAGCCCAGCTCCTTAGGACTAGAGCAACAGTGATCCCGTGTGTGTGCCCTCTCTACACAGGACAGGGAGGACCTCTACCCCTGGGGCTTCTGTCTCACTCGGACAGAGTGTGAGCAGAGACAGGGACAAAGACAGCAATGTGTGAGTCCTCTTCTAGGCTAGTAAGAGAGAATCCTCAGGAAATGGGGTTAGAAGGCATTCCTGGGAAAGCCAGCCTTGTGTCTGCCAACCATCATTTAAAATCACGTGGCCACTGGCCTGAAACCAGTCTGAAATTCCAATTTGGTTTTGGTGACCATCTAAGGTTTGAGCTCACCTATAAAAGTCTCTCTGCTGAGTGTAAGTAAGGACTAAAATGTATAATAGGTATTGCAAAATAGAAAGACAATGTTCAAATGGGAAGAGGAGGAGGGCTGAATGGAGGGTAGAGAAATGGAGGAGAAAAGAATCAAGTTAGGGCCTGGGGGTTTAGCTCAGTGGCACAAGCACCTGCCTGGCAAGTGCAAAGTTGTGAGTTTGATCCCTGGTATCAAAAAAAAATTAAAAAGATAAAAAAGAATCAAGTTACATCATGTACATGTACAAATTTTCTATGATGAATGTGATCATTATGTACCAGTGAAATCTGATTGTTAAAAAAAGAAGTCAAACTCCCTCAGCCTCAGAGTGACATGCGTCCCTCTCGGATGAGCATGGTACCATGCACAGCGGGTCTTCCAGGGCCAAGCCCTGAGCCAGAGTCTGAGCCGCCATAGGTGACAGCTGAAATACAACAGTTTTCTTCCTACAGAGATACAGCTGAGCAGGCTCACGCAAGTTCCATACACACAAGTGCACATGTGCACACTTACACGCACACACCCTCAGGACACCACTTGTGGATGACCAGACTCTCAGACACAGCACTAGGCATCAGCTCACCAGCAGGGAACCAAGGAAGTGGAGCTGGCCAGCTTCTGTGATCACACTCGCTGCACCCAGCCCTCCTTCTCGAGCATAGGCTGAGATGAGAGGAAGAGCACCACGTTTCGGTGGGGTGCACTGCCCTCTGAAACGCCACTCGGGCCCTGCTATTTGGGTCATGGGAGTGAAACAGACAAAGATTTGGAGGGGTTTTTTTCCCCCTGGTTCTGGGGATTGAACCCAAAACCTTGACATTGAGCAACATCCCTAGCCCTATTTTAATTGCTTATTTGAGAGAGGACTTCTTTAAATCGCTAAATTCCCTGGACTGGGTTTGAATTTGAGATCCTCCCTCCCCAGCCTCCCAGAGTGATAGGATTGTAGGTGTGTTCCACCATACCCCACGGCTTCAGCAGTTTCAATCAGCAAGGAGCTGGCACCAATCTTAGCTCTCCGGGCACCTGCCACGAGTTACACCAGTGCCCAGCCTTTGCCCAGTCCCAAAGGTTCTTGTGCGGCAGTTTTGGGCCAGAACCAGGGAACCAGAAAGGGCTGTGAAGCTCTGGTTTGGTTCACTGTACTCTGAACACCATTGTAGAGCTGTCGGCACCGGGGTCCGAAGCACCTGGCTGCTGCCCATGCCTGAGATTTTGGACACAGCAGACATTTAAAATAAGATCATCTCCAGTCTCTACGGGGCGCCCTCCCAGTAGCATCCTGGAGCACCAGGAGATGAGAGCCCTATACTTACTCGCTGCCTGTCACGATGTAGCCAGGCTCCTCGACCTCAGAAGGCCTGGCTTCCAACTGCAGGCCTTCACCTAGCGGGCCCCACTGTCCTGTCTGGGGGCTCTGAGCCTCCTGAGGTGCCTCTGGATCCCAGTTCTGGAGTCTCCCAAGCCCAGCGACCCTGGGTTCTGCCTTCAGATTCTCTGATAGGTCTTTGGAGTATGTTTGGCTCTTCACGTTCTCTACCCCAACATCTTCTTCCTCTGAAGACAAGGAGGCCACAGATTCCTCCGATTTCTTGATCTCTGTTGGGAAGGCCTGCTCCGGGGGGAGCTCTCCAGGCAGGAGTGGGGACCTATGGTCCTGCAGGATATCTCCAAGTCGGACACTCAGGTGACTGGCCTGGCAGAAAGAAAGCTCTCATGAGTCACTGTGCATTAGCGAGGATGGCCCAAGCTGAGAAAGAGGGGGAAATTTGCATTAAAGTTATACCTGTGGGGTCACAACAGACCACTTGAAAGAAAACCCCGGGACTCTCTCCCTGAACTCTCTCTAGGAGAGTCACTGCAGCCTGATGCGGAGTGGGGGGGACTATGCTTAAGAACCACCTATCCATGCCCCACCCTTCCTGAAGAACCTGACTGTGCAGTTGGTTTGGCTCTACAGAATCACCAGGTGTGATCTCGAGGCCCCGCCTGACCCTCAGACAGACAGCAGTCATAACTGATTGTAGTGATGTGGGCAACAGGGAGCATCTGTGTGCAAGCCAGTTCCCATGGCTACGTGCTGACCATGGACAGAGCCTCACCCGAGGACTGTGCCTCACAGGACCCAGCTGTCATATGGCTTTCAGAGAAGCACGGAGGTGACTGGCAGACAGAACCTGCACTCAGGCCTCACTGGTGTCGAGGCTGCAGTCTCCCACACCGGGGGGATCTGGGGTGCCTCTTCGGGCAGTGATAGCCAGAGTCTTCTGCTATTGCCAGGATGTGGTCCTGAGCACGAAATCATGTCACTAAGGTTCCATTAGCCAGAATGGGGGTCAGATTTGCCTGTAGGACTGCTTTACCAAGTGTATTTGCCTAGGAAATTGAGAAGGGCCATGAAGGCATTCAGCCTTTTTTGACTAAAGACCATATGTGACTCCTTGTGTTTTCTTTTTCTGAATATTTAAACAGAATAGCGGTCACTGACAGTGTCCACTCATATTTGCATCCTAACCACGTGGGTCTGTAGCATTTAAGTTGCTGACCAGACCAGCCAATGTTGCTAAACCAAAGGAGAAAACAATCTCCAGGGCTGGGGTTTCCCCAGGAGGAGTGGAGGGGCCACTGAACCTCCAACACCCAGTACCTGCTGTGAGGTAGCTGTGCTGGGTCTTGGCCACTCCATGGTGGAGCTCGGACAGGGAGCAGCGCTCTCTGAGGCTGTGGCTTTGGAGCCACCAGCCTGAGGTGCTGCCCTCAGCCACTGCCAAGCTCTCTGTCCCTTCCCACATTTAGAAACAGTTTCCTGCTCTCTTCTTCTTAATCACTCTAGTAGAGTCTGCCACTGCTGTGGGGCTTAAAATGCTTCTAGTCCTTGCCAGCAGGCACTGAGCCATGAACCACTAAGACAATCTGTTGAGAGGCTTAGCCATGATTCTTTTCTCCACTCCAAAAACAGTATCACAGAACCACATAATATCATTGTCATTGTGTGTGATCTGGCTGGGGCAATCGTAAGGCTTGGTAAGTGAGAAAAGTCTCTAACATAGGAAAAACAAATGCATTAACAAAGTGATGGGCGAAGCTGATGACATGAGTTGCTATCCTGATGGTGTGTCCAGGGCCCCCTCATAATGCTGGGACAACCCCAAGCTTGGCTGTACTGGTGGTCTTGGCCACACATGGTGACCAGCACTTGACCAGTGACCAGTGCCACTGAGGAGCTGCTGGATTCCATTTTAACTCATTGACATTTGGGCTGACACCGCCATTTGGGAGGCTGCTATGCTCATAACTGCAGGCCTCTGCAGGACATGCCCTGATCCTACCCCAGGCACGTAGGCTGCATCATGACTGTGACATATGTGTGCAGAGAAACTGAGAGAATATTGGAGTACTTGTTTGCATTACCTGTATTTCTTATGTTTCTACAGTGTGTAAAAATTAGTTTATAATCTGAAAGTGGCCATTATTATGTACTGATTACATACATTTTGCATGTACTCTTTCCATCTTTCTAGGTTAGGGACCATGAAGTCTTCTTCCCTGCTTTTCCTAGGGGTGAACTCTATGTTTCACAACTGTTCTAAACCTTGAATAAGAGGATCACAACACAGCTGAAAGTGAGCCCAGCACACAGGGGCTTTGTCTTACCTCACTGGAGCCTGGGCTGCTGTCCTCCCATGCTCTGTCACCTGGAACAGACAGAAGTGTCACCACAACCTTGTCAGCATGAACAGTCTCACCAAAGACAGGTGTGATGGTCAGGGCCCAGTCTCATCCATGAAGTGAACCGTTCTGTCCACAGCCCCGGACAGCATCTTGTAAACCAGGAGCGAGGGACTCACAGCTGAGCAGGCCAGAAGTTAGCCAAGGAGTGTGCTTCCTAGGGCCCAGGGCCAAAGTCACCTTCACATTGGCCCCCACAGAGCCTGCTATACCACTCCAGGCACGTCAGGGAAATGTACAGTGAAGCATCCAACTCAACTGCCTCACAGTTTGGAGGACCCCACTACCCTGATTTGGGTGACCCCTCTGCAGCTGATGTTTCTCTAGGTGAATGCCCTGCCTTCAACACTCAGGGATGTGCGACCTGCTGCACACCTGCCAGCCCCTATTCTGCCACCCTTTAATAGCATAGCTGCCTGGTGCAGCACCTTGCCATGTGGCATCTGCTGGCTTCTCTTGTGCCCTCCACCACCACCAGGCAAGATACCCACTCTGGGAAGGCCCACCCCACTAGCAGGGAAGGGGCCTTGCCGTATCTCCTAGGCACTAGCCATGTGCGGGCACTGAGTGGGCTACACCCTTGACCAGATAGGCCTGAGGGCCCTGTATCAATGTGGGCGAGTGGCTGCCCCCAGCAGCATGGAGTGGCTGTGGAGGGGGTGAGCTCTGTGAGCCAGAGGAGCTTTGTTATTCAAATATCTGGCAGTATCCACTCATAGCAGGATCCAAACTAAAACCCTCTAGTCCTTCCTGCTTTCCTAATCCCGAGCCTCAGCACAGAGGAACAAAAGCTGCTCACAGAAGGCAATCTGCCCTTCAACCTCGCTGGTCCAGCAGGCTTAGTCTGTTAGGAAAGCTTTTAGAGGCAAGAGTTCCAACAAATGAAAATCATCACTACAAATCCCCTCTTCCCGGCAGAGACCGTGCCGCGGCTGGGAGCAGCATCTCTCCAAGCTGCCCCAGCCTCCTGCCCTCCCCACACCATCCCAACTGCAGATACTATGGGAATGAGGTCACCTTGGAGTGCAGCTTCCCGGCCTCCCAGCAGCTCCTGTGGCTGTCCCTCAGCTCCTTGCCTGGTGATGGCCTGGCCTTCTGCTGGACGTTCATCTTGCCTCGCAGAACTGGCCATCATATCTGCCATCCCCTCCATCCCAGCTGGGGCCTCCTGCTCTGCACCAGCCTGCTGCCTCCTCAGATCCTTCAGAAGACTCTGGACAAGCACTTCTGGACACAGAAGGCACAAAGACACAGTGGGTTGAGCTGTCCTAAGGACACGAGGGCAACTGGACCACAGGGTGTTGGTGTCATTGATGGTGAAACCCAGGGTGCTCTGGACAGGGTCAGGGCAAGCAGCAACCCAGAGTAGGACAAGCTTTTTGTCCTGGCTGGGAACAAAGGGTGGCCTCTGGGGAACCACCTTCAAGACTGGGCAGGAACAAGCCATAAGAAGCTGCTTCCTTCTCATCTGGAGAGTATATCACAGGCCTGAAGGAGAGCACAGAGCTCAGCACCCCACTGGCCTGTGCCACTGTGGACAGAGTCAGCTGCCATTTCCCCTTAGCACATTAGGAGAGAGCTCAATGGAAGCCTTGGGCAACATGGCTGACCCACCCCATGTATAGACGGCAGCCCAAGAGTCAGTAAGAGAGGGGAAGCTCAGGGTGTTCCCCATGGCAGTGGCACAGACCAGGCCCCCATGACAGCAGGGGGATGTAGTTCCCCTCACGCAGCAGCTGGAGTTCAGTAATGGAACTACAGAAGTCATTTGTCTAATCAAGAGACCCACTCCTCATTGAGAGCTGGGAACTGGAGGTGGGAGGCCTACAGCCATGGAACATCCAGACCCTTCATTGGCGTCCTGTCTGTGTCCAAGCCTCTGCCCTCCACCCCTGGCAAGGCTGGATGGTGTGACTGAGGATCTTCACTGGCCATGTGGCCGAGTGAGAAGCCTACTGGAGAGGAGACAAGCCTGGGCCGCTGAACTCATGAGGCTCGCAGTTGGGCTGCTGCAAGGAGGAGCCCAGGAGGAGGTGGCCACTGGGGCCTTTGGAGGCTGCAGCTTCCAGGCCAGCCTCTTCCCTTAGGCTCTGCTTCTTGTCCACCACCAAATGGGCAGCTTTGCCCCACCAGGCACTTCCACCATAACACTTCTGTCTTGGATCCAGACAACAATGGACTCAAATCTTTAAACCATGAGCTGCATAAGTTGGGGTATAGGGTATTTTTCCCAGCAATGGGAGAAATGACCAACCCTGACAACTCTAGCCATTCACCCTGTGTTCAGATCGTGTCATGTTTATGTCCAGGGGCCTCCACAAGCCTCATGCAATCATGGATGCTGGTTTGTTGTCTAGCACTTGTACTGGTGGTGTGAGTGCTACACCTGCCCAAGGGTGGAGCCAGCATACAGTGTAGGTGGGAAGAAGGTGTGTTTCTCTTTTGCCAGTTTGCAACTTGCTGTTTGCAGCTAGCCGAGAATAGCAGCCCGCCATGCCACCCTGCCTTGCAGCCAGCTGAGTATGGACTGAAACCTAAACTTGTAAGACATAAACCTTTCCTTCCCTAACTTTGGGAGTCAGGTATTTTGTCTCAGCAATGAGAACAAAGGAACCATGACAGACGGGAAGGAAAGAAGAATACCCAACATGAGGTAGGAGGTGCTGAGTTTGAGACCCTTTCCATCCAAGCTGTGTCTGACTGAACGGTGGAAAGGTCGTCACCCCTCCTGGGCCCTTCTCTCTTCCACACTGCCCTCTAGCCCCTTCCCCAGGCAGAGTGGGAATATGTCTGTTGGTCTCGTTTCAATACGGCCCAGGATCCAGTCACCTCTCCGTGTTCTTCACTGGCTTTCTGCCTGCTTATGCACCTGACAATGCTGGTGGATCACTTTACAGCCAGAGAAGACATGAAGAAACAGTGTCCTGAGAGGTCTGCACCCCAGCTTTTCCCTTGGGTGTCTCCTTCAGTAGTGGGGCTGAATGAGCATCACACAATGAATGGGAGCAGCCCTGTGGCAGGCAGATGGGCATCACTGGAAGACAGGGGTGTTCCTGGGGCTGGGGGCAGGTGCAGGGGTTGGCACAGGTGTTAGAAAGGAGCTCACCTGCTCCTGCTGTTTTGATCCCTCCCATGTGGGGGTATAGATGCTATAGTCCTCACCTCAGACAGCAGGACTAGGGCCACACGTGGGAACTGCTTTTAGACCAGGAGCCACAGCACAATAGCTAGGCAAAGTGAGCCCAGCACCACGTCTGAGGGGGCTCTGTCCCAGGTGGGAGGTGCAGGAACAGGACAGGCCCGTACTGAGAGGTCAGGGGTCAGAGGTGGGCGGGGTAGCTGCGATGCAAGGCACCTAGAAGCCTGGCCTCAGTAAAGGAACAACTTGGTGCCCCTCTTTGCCTCCCAACATTTGAGCTTCCCTGGTGGCCCCTGGAAGTATGGATGCCAAGCTCTCCATCTGAGGGTGGTCACCACTGACCTCACCCTACATGAATCCCAATAGAACCCAGCATAAAAGCAGCCTCTTTTCTGGGGTGGAAACTCAGGTGTGGGCTTTGGCCACTTCCTTCTGGTCCCAGGGAACCTCTGCCCCAGTAGCCCCAGCCAAGTGCCCACAGCTGAATGCTTGCCATTGAGGGGACAGTAGTGAGGGACAAGGCAACACCCTGGCCTTGTCATCCTGTGCAAGGGCCGAGCTGATGCTTTTCTTCCACATGGAGGGCAGCACAAGCACTTGAATGGCTATCTGGAAAACCATACTTGTGTCCTTCAGACCAGAAGAGGCATCTCAGACCCACACCCACACACAGAACTGCAGCCGGGCGTTGCCTTCTCAGCTCTGCTCTGTGATCCGAGCCCCCCACGTTCTCTCCTGTTTGTGCTGCAAAATCATCCGTGGGTCCAGTGCCAACAACAAAGGAGGCAAAAGAAAGTGGAAATCAGGCAGGAGGAGCAGAGGGAGCTATGAGGAGAGTATGGCTTGCCCTCCAGCAGAGGCCTGGTCCATTGGGTGAGACCACACCACTGCCCACAGGCCGCTCTTCCGAGCACCCAACCACAGAAATCAACAGGAATCACCTTGAGGCCTCCACCAGGGAGGAGGACCTTGGGGAGAAGCGTCCCTCACATGGCACCACTATCCCCGAGCCCCTGCCTCCTGTCATAGACAGGCAAGAACAGTGGCCTCCATGGCCAAACACAGAGGCAGCACTGTCACAGAGGTGGTGGCCAGGCCAGACACTTTGAGAACCTCAGATTCTGTATGATTCTCACATGAGGGACAGGTCTAGGGTTCACAGGGAAGAGGTCTTTCTGTGGGACCCCAACTGACCAGCACCACCTGCATTCAGCTAACCAACCTCACTGCTCGGGAGGGGCCCAGAAATGATGGCATGGCTGAGACCACCTCTTGGACAACCAGATACTTTAAATATGGACACAAGCCATGGTGGGGAGCCACACAGACCACTCAGATCTTTCTGTCAACCTTCACAACCAACCCAGGATGAGGGAGTGCCGGGCCCCGGAGTTGGCCTGAGGCTGCAGGTGCTTGGGCCAAAGCCACAGATACAGACCTCGATGAGCCAGTACCACTGGGGCAGCAGCCTCAGTCGGGATCACAGGGCCAGAGTCCGGTGAGTAAGGTGGAATCAGGGGCACCGCTGTGCCCTCTTTGAAGCCACATAGCTCGAGGGGGCCAAGGAGGCGACCAGTGAGCAGAAGTTCTCAAAGTTAGAATTTCTTGCACTGATAGGTACCTGCTATCAAGACATGGGTGTTTCTGAACCTGGAAAGGTTTACATAGGTGGTGTTGTGCACATGCATGTCTGCCTGTGTGTATATCCATGTGCAGTGTGTGTATCTGCATGGATGTGGTTGGGTGTGTGTCTGGGTGTGTGTCTGTGTGTGTGTTGGGGAGACACAGCTCAGACTAGAAAGGAAGGCCAGCTAGGAAGGAAGTCAAGAGGAAAATGACACTGCAAAGCACGCCCCTCTCAGCACCTTTCTTCAAAACATCTGAAGTCCAGGAGCCCTCTGCCTTCATCCAAGAATGGGACAAGAATGGTGGGTGTCAATTGGGGGACACTCCATAGTGGAGGATGCTCCAAGGGAAAGGGAAGCAGAGCCTGGGTCCAGAGAGTGTGGCCACACAAGTGGAGGTGTTCTGCCATGGTTGCTCCTTATAGAGGGCAGCCGACACAGAGCCACACACCCACCCTGAGCGTGTCTTCAGGACAAGAATGCACAGCGACTGTTTTCGCCATGCCATCATGGTGGGGAGAACTGGTCACAAAGTCACTTGCATCCCAGAAGACAGCATGCTTGGCCACATGGAGACACCCTAGACTGTCTTAGACACTGAAAAGTACAAGCAAACTTAGAATGGGCCAACCATTAAGGCATGCACGGAGGATGAATGACAATATCTTCAGTCATTTGTCCTTTCTCCTAAAACAGACAAGCATTTTGAAAGAGTTTTGCCCTAGTATAAATTACTGTACAGTTAGTCTGGCAGTGGTCTAACATGGTGGAAGGCCAAAGTGGAAACGCTTACCACTTCCTGCTTCCTCTTCAGTCCTAATTGCAACTCCCCTCCCTGTTTGCACACACAGAGAATTCCAATCGGTTCCTCACACGTCATCAATATCTGCCCCATGTGCCAGTTCCGATCAGAAGACATATAACCCTCTGCCTCTCTGTATCCGGTCAAAGTAGACAGCCAGCCGCCATGGGTTGTGTGCTCCTTTCCACGTCCTCAACTCAATAAACCTGTTCATTTTGTACTTTTGCTTCCCTATTGTGCCAAAATACTCTTAACACATTTGTGCTTATGACCCCGGCAAACTGTCACTTATTAAAGTACTTGAAAGTTTCTTCCCTGAATTTCAACTAAACAGTTTTCAAGCTATCATAATTTATTTATAAACCACTCCCTGTATTTTATTCCCCCAAAATTAATAATTAAATTTGACATAACTACCAGAGTACAGAGAACCAAGAAGGCGGCTGAGCCTGCTGGTGTAAGCTGACCAGTGTGCAGGCTGAGGAGTAGCCCTCTGTGCCCCCAAACCCCATGGGCAACTAGGTGATTCGGATGAACTCTACTTTTCAATTAACTTTGAAGCCTAAAGCCAAGAAACTAGAGGACAACAATATGCAGTATAGTACCCATTACAGATTTCCTACTGTCTTATCACTGTTTGGATTCATTTTTCTGTTTTATT